AGAAAGAAAGAAAGAAAGAAAGAAAGAAAGAAAGAAAGAAAGAAAGAGGGAAGGAAGGAAGGAAGGAAAGAAAAAGAAAGAAAGAAAGAAAGAAAGAAAGAAAGAAAGAAAGAAAGAAAGAAAGAAAGAAAGAAAGAAGGAAAAGAAAAAAGAAATGGGTATATCAAAAATTTTGCTAGCCATTTTAAATAATGATACATAAATGTTTTGTTTGTTTTAAATAATGATATATAAATGCTTTCTGTATGTCCATAGCTTATGATATAGATATCCAATATGAGCAGGTACTATGCATGAACCTAGAACAAGGCTGTGTTAACTTCTACCACTGGTACAAAACAACTTAAACGAAGGAAGATTATTTTGGTTCAGTTTCTGAGGCTTCAGTATATGGTGGCGTGGCCCCATTGCTTTGAGGCCTGAAGAAAGAAGGTATCATCGTGGAAACAGATGGTGAAAGTTTTTCACCTCATAGCAGTCAAGAAGCAAAGAGACAGGAAGTGAATGAAGTCCCAATATCCTCCTAAAGGGTATGCCCCAAATGACTCTGTGGCCTTCGAGTCTCTACTTCCCGGAGCACTGGAGGAGCTTACCCAGCCTAAACACACAGGCTATCAGAGAACACTGACGATCCTGAAAATGCTGCGCTGGATTTCAGTCTCTTAAGAGTCTACTTGTCGTTCCTTCGTGATCCCTTATTCTTACAATACTTTTCACAAAAATAAAACGGTTAAAACCATCAAAAATTCTTTTATTTCTGTAGCTTCCATATTTTTCCATGACTTTTGTGTACATATTTATTTCAGCATTTGCCTTGTTTAAAAAAAAAAAAAAAAGCTTCAAGATATGATCTACATACAACTCCCCACCGAAAGGGTACAGTAATTTTATTATACTCAAGCTGAACCAGCAGCAGCAGTCTGACCTCTGAACATCGCTTTCTAGTCTGTAACTTTTACCTTTTTATTCTCAAACACTTCCAGCCTCCCCCAAAGAAGCCTCACACCCAGGAAGTTTAATCCTACCCTCTAATCCGCAACAGCCCAAAGCAACCACTGATCTTTTTACATCCACATTTGCCTTTTCTAGATATTTTGTGCAAATTAAATCAGTGTGTGGTCTTTTAGTATTGGCTTCCCTCACTTACCATGCTTTCAAAATTATCCATGCCATAATAGCCATGTCTAGTCCTTCATTCTTTTTTATGGCAAATAAAATATGCCACAGCATACTGTATCAAGTCTTAGTTGAGGGACAACTAAGTTGTTTCCACTTTTTTAGGCTGCTAAGAATAATGCTATTGACATCTATGTTCTATTTTTTATAAGAATTATTTTCTTTAAAAAAAAAAAAAAAGAGTTATAGCTGGGCGGTCGTGGTGCATGCCTTCAATCCCAGCATGCGGGAGGCAGAAGCAGGCAGATCTCTCTGAGCTCAAGGCCAGCCTGGTCTACAGAGCAAGTTCCAAGGCAGCCATGGCTATACAAAAGAACCCTATTTCAAAAAAAAAAAAAAAAAATTTAATGATTATTTGAAAATATGTGGCTGTGTATATGCCTACAGAGGCCAGGTCCCCTGAAGCTGGAGTTACAGGTGCTGGGAATTGAACTTAAATCCTCTGCCAGGGCAATCTGAACTTTTAACCACTTAACCATTTCTCTAGCCCACCACATTTATTTCTCCTGGACACCACCTTAGTCAGCTTGGACTACTCTAAAGAAGTAATTAGACTAAAAGACCAAAAATAAATGGTATTAATGTTCCCACTATTTTCTGTACTATTAATAATTACTTATCTCAAAACCAGGCTTACACAAAAATCCATCTTATATATATAAAGTAATCTTTTAATCATTTAGATACTTAACTTTCTTCCTTCTTTCTGATTTCCCTGGAGATAACTACATTTCCAACATGCCAAGAGATACGCCACATCTAAGAGTTCTTAGACATGAAAACTAACTTACTTTGTTCATGCTATGTAAAATGCAAGAGCAAGAATAACTCAACTAGACAATGTCATCCAAAATTTAACTCTCACCATCTACTCTGGAAGGCAAACAAAGTAGTTTAAATGCATTGACCTATAACTGTCATAGATAATTATACAGTCTCCTGCCTTCTTAGCAAGCCAAGGAACAGTTTATGTTAAATAACTTGTATCATTGAATAGGCAGAATAGATTTTTAAAGATCATTTGCTCACGTACATGGGTGTCTTGCCTGCACGTATGTCTGTGCACAAAATGCATGTTTGGTGTCTTTGTGGGACAGAAGGTGTCAGACTCCCTGTTCCTGGAGCTATAGATCATTGTGGGCCACTGTGTGGATGCCAGGAACCAAACCAGGACCTCTGAAAGAACAGCAAGTGCTCCTAACCACTGAACCATCTCTCCAGCCCCCAGAACAGCTTTGACTAGGTAAAAACTAATGGTTACATGACTACAATAGTTGGGCTTTGAGGCAGAGTTTTGTAGTTTGAGTTTGGTAATCTAGAATCCTGGTCACACATATGCTGGTAGAATAATCATTGTGGTTGTGTCAATTATAATGAAATTAGTCAATGTTTTTTGTCTTGATTAGGAAAAGATGCTGTATACCCACTGTCAAGAAACATGACTAAACAATCACTTATTAACAAGAAGGACTGAGCATAATCACTATACACAATCATAACCCAGTAACCGAGGTTTCTGGATAAAGAAGGGCAGAGAATTGAGAATAATTTAGAGAAAAAGACAGATCACATGCAAAGTCTACCAAACTCTGACAATTCAAAAAGTTTCCAAATGGCAGGGTTGTTTCAACAAAAGACCACAAACTGATCTAACTAGTAACCCTGCACAAGCTCATGTATTTTAAGAGTTCTTGTTTATACAGTGTTCTGCCTACACGTGTGCCTGCATGCCAGAAGAGGGCACCAATATAGATGGTTATGAGCCCCCATGTGGTTGCTGGTAATTGAACTCACGACCTTTGGAAGAACAGCTAGTGCTCTTAATCTATGAGCCATCTCTCCAGGACCCCAGGCTCATGTATTTTAAAGACACTATTAATGCTCTGATTTCTCTTCAGATCACTTTAATATTACTCCTTTTGTAAACAAAGGACACTGTACCATCAGTGACATATTTTCCAACTTTTTAAAATTATCTGGCAAAACATTAACTCAAAGCTCCCCAAACTGTTAAGTTCTCTTCCTAATAGGGGCCCTGTGGCTCCTCTGCTGTATATACTCCTCGATTGGGTCAGCTTCGAATACAGATGAGATCTTGGCGGTCTTCAGCCAATATGCTTCACCAGTATGAGTCCTTTTTAAATGAGACAAAAAGCTTTGTCTTCATATGCAAAGGTACTGAGGCTATACATTCTACATTCTATACACAACTGCTAACTAACATAAACAGTGTTCAATAAAAGTTCACTGGTATTTAACATAGAAATTTTATTAAAGTATATCAATCTGCAGATATAAAAACTCACAACCAACCTTTCTTGATTGAAAAACAACAAACTTGCTAATCTTAAGAAATACTCCCTGAAACCAAGTGTGGTGGCATATCCTGTAATGCCAACACTCAGGAGACAGGGGCTCAGCATCAGGACAAGGACATTCTTAGCTACAGAGGGAGTTTGAGACTAGCCTGGGCCACATGAGAGCCTGTCTCAAAACCAATACCACCATCCCCCAAAAAAGAGGAAAGAAAAGAAAAACTCTCTGAAGATAATTTTGCCATTTTTTTAAACATTCTTTTTTTTTTTTTTTTTTGGGGGGGGGGTTCAAGACAGGGCTTCTCTGTGTAGCCTTGGCTGTCCTGGACTTGCTTTGTAGACCAGGATAGCCTCAAAGTCACAGAGATCCACCTGCTTCTGCCTCTCTGAGTGCTGGGATTACAGGTATGCGCCACCACGCCTGGCTAATTTTGCCATCTTAAAACACATTTTGACATGTGTTTCAAAAGTTTCCCAATTATGAAATATTAGACTTAACGTTAACTACTCTAAGCAGGACATGGTGGATCAAGCCTGCAATTACAGCACTTAGCTACATAATGAATTACTGGCTGTCGCGGGCCACATGAGACTCTTAAAACCAAACAACAAACAACATTTACTATTCCAGCAAAGTACTGTGAGAATAAACAAAAAGTTATACATGCTTATTTCAAATACTACTACTGTAAATAGGATTTATTTTAAGAAATAAATGATAGCCAATACAAAATGTTTGTCTCCGAGAAGTATTTCATACTTATAAGGGAAAAGGTAATTAATATTGAACATTTTCCTTGTTCAGTGTTTCTAATTTTTATAAGGGTTTAGAGTAAGTTTCATAGTCACTAAGCAGTTTTGAAAGGTAGGCTTCATGACCCTTTGACTTCGTGCTTTTACAGGACATGACAAATTATTTTATTCAAATTATGTTTTCCAAAAGAGAGGGTTCTGTGCTAATCGTCTTTGAAAGTTTTCATACCTACAAGAGAAAATCCAGAATAACATCAGAACATTTCAATCACAATTTCATGACTTACCAAATAACTTTTATCAACAATAATTTTATGACATTTCCCAAAAACTATGATAAAAAAGGGAGAAGCAATTCTGAACATTATCACAGTAAGAGCAGTGACTTAAAATAAGATGGACTGACAGCTCTTGGCAGAAAGCAGCAATAGACAGAGCCAGTGCTAGAAAGCCAAGGAAAGGGATCATCACAGAGACTGCAGATTCCTGAAAGCGGTTTGCTCAAAGTCACAACAGCATTGGGACAAAATGCAAACCCAGTGTATTCTGGTATCCCTGCTACAGCAGAGTACTACCTCCTACAAAACTTCTACTATCTCCTCCCTGGGCCATTAAAAGTGAAAAGAAATGACAACAAAACAAAGAAGTCAGAGAAAAGTAATAGTCATCATGTTCAAGACGCAGTGTAAGAAACACAATGCCTGGCGTATTGACTTTCAATTTCATTTGTTAATGCTGTTGTTTTTATTTCACCGTAAGAGCATTTTGCCTGTGCATGTTGTGTGTACCATGTATGTGTGTGGTATCTACTGGGGAAAGAAGAGGACTACATCAGATCCTCCTTCTGGAACTGGAGTTAAAACCAGTTGCAATTGCTAAAAATGAAACCCAGGTCTTCTACAAGAGCAGCAAAGCTCTTAATCACCGAGTCCTTTTCTCCGGCCCCAGGGAAAAAATGTTTTGAGCATTGTTCAAATGTTAATAAAGTATTTCTAACTCAACACAGAAAATGAATCATCCCTAATAGTGATCCCTAAAACACAGTGGTCTTTCCCTGACTTTATGAATTCCTAATGGCTACTTTGTAATAGAATATTTACGGTATGAACTATTCTAGATCTGAAGGCTACAAAATGAACATTATTAGCCTGTAATATATGAACAGATGTTGATATCCACAATAAATGACTATGTTTACCTCTCAAAGAAAAAAAAAACATTTATAGGCCAAATATAGTTATTAAAACCTTAACACTAGAGATTGGAAATTTCCTCATACCATTTCAGAACCACGTTTGCTGGGATAAACATTTCAGATGGATTTGGTGTCATCTGAGCCTGAGAGACAGCAAATGATGAAGCAAAATTGTAGAAGTTGTCCAACATCTTCTGTGTGAACTGCAAAGTTAATAGTTGATTTTAGTGAGTTACGTTAATTTTTATATGCAGTTTAGGCCTCAATACTTTTAAAGTATTCCCATATTCTGGTGCCTTTGGTTCTAAGAAATATAAGTTCTAAGACAGCCAGGCATGGTAGCGCATATTTTTAATTCCAGCACTTGAGAGCTGTGGCAGGCAGATTTCTTTTTTACTTTGGGAGGTGATGTTTCAAAACAGGGATTCTCTGTATAGTAGCCCTGGCTGTCCTGGACTAGCTTTGTAGACCAGATCGGTCTCAAAATCACAGAGATCTGTCTGCTTCTGCCTCCCGAGCAAGTCCAGAGTAAGTCTACAGAGTGAGTTCAGAATGTCCAGGATGACACAGAGCAAACCTGTCTCAAAATAAAATAAATAAAAATAAAAGAAAGAAAGAGGTGGGGAGGAGGAGAGGAGAGGGAAAAACAGTTACTGGGTAGGATTACTGTAAAAGAGAACAGGATAGGCACAGTATTATTCCATTTCTTCTACTTGTTAATCTGCCTCTTTTCACTGACCATAAAATGATCAAATCTACTAATATCCTGTAGTGTCTATAGTAGAAATCAGAAGTAAACTCATTAATCCTTTATGAAAATCAAGTGGTCTTAAAGGCAATAAACCTAAAAGTAAAGAAATTAAAGGCAGTGTTCCTTTGGGCTCACTCAGAAACACTCTTCCAGGCCATAGAGACGGTGAAGAAGTTAAAGGAAGGCACCATGCAAGACCGATGGCCTGACTTCTATCCCAGGGAGCCAGAGTAGTAGAAGAGAACCAGCTCACAAAAGTTTCTGACCTCCACAATCACCATGGCACACTCGTGCCTACGCATACATGTGTAACACACACACACTCTCTAATAATGATGATGATATGATAATAATAATAATAATAATAAAAACAATAAACTTAAAACAAATGGTCTTCCCAGCATTACTTTCTCAAAATTACAAAACTGGCTCTGAAAGTTCCTGATGCATCTTTTTCACAAAAGAAATTACCTTACCGGGGTCTTAAAATCTGCTCATTTAATGGGATAGAAGATCTATCATGGGCTGGAGAGATGGCTCAGAGGTTAAGAGTGCTGGCTACTCTTCCAAAGGTCATGAGTTCAATGCCCAGCAACTACATGGTGGCTCACAACCATCTAAAATTAAAACTGGTGCCCTCTTCTGGCGTGCAGGTGTACATGCGAACACACATTGTATACATAATAAATAAGTAAATCTTAAAAAAAAAAAAAAAAAAAGAAGATCTACCATTAAGGTATCATTAACATCAAGAATTAATTAGGTCACTAACTAAAAGGGTCTATTAGAAACACAGTTTGCTGCAACCCTCCACACCAACAAGATGCTTTTTTCTTCTTTCTTTCCTTTTCTGACACAGATAGTTAGACAATGTATTAAGAAATGTAATCAAGTTTTCCAAAATTAAACACTTAAGTTCATTGCTACTTTCAACAAAATTCTAATAAAATTTTTCACAAAATTTGACTGAGTGGTACTGTCTGGAACTCAAAAAGGTGATTAAAATTATTAGGAAGAATATCTAGGCCTGTTCTGATGACGATAAAGGACTTGGACTATTAGACATTAAGACTTAACTGGCAGCTGGTGGTGTTGGCTCATGCCTTTAACTACAGCATTTAGGAGGCAGAGGCAGGTAGATCTTTTAAGTTTGAGGCCAGCCTGGTCTACAGAGTGAGTTCCAGGACAGCCAGGGCTACATAGAGAAATGCTGTCTCTAAAAACAATAACAAAAAAAAAAAAAAGAAAGAAAACAACCCAAGCAAATTATATATGAGACCCAAATAACCAATTCACAGTGGAAAAAATTTTTTAAAAGAAAAAGCAGAGAGCTGGAAGAGGAATGGCAATGGCCACAGAAGAATGTCAAAGTGGTATGATTTATACTTGCAGACCCTGTCATAAATTAGAGCTGGAAACAAAGCCATATGTAAAACAGAAAGGAGAGGGAAATCCAGAAATTAGTAAATAGGAGAAAATATAACAAATGGGGGCGGGGAAGGAGCTCTTAAGTGTGCAAGGACAGGCATTATACTTTATCTACTTTGTTTATCTGTGCTTAAAAAAGGCTTGGCACAAAGTAAGTACAAAATAAAAATCTGTGGAATACCTAACTTTTTCTTTATACTTTATGCTTAAAAAATTTCATAATAAATTCAGAGGAAGCCCATAGGCTGCTCAGTTTCCAAGTAGGTTCCTAGTAAGGGGCACATGGGCTGTCTCTGACATGAACTCTGTGGCTGGCTCTTTGATCACCTTTCTGGGGGGAGGGGAATACAGCCTTGCCAGGCCACAGAGGAAGATGATGCAGCCAGCCTTGATGAGACCTGATAAACTAGGGTCAGAGAAAAGGGGAGGAGGACCTCCCCTATCAGGGCACTAGGGAAAGGGCATAGGGGGAGAAGAGGGGAGGTGGATGGGACTGGGAGGAGATGAGAGAAGGGGCTGCAGCAGGGATACAAAGTGAATAAACTGAAATTAATTAAAATTAAATTAAAAAGCTCAAAAAATTTATAAGCTCACAGAAGCAGACAGGAGAAGGGTGGCTATAAAGGGTTGAAGGAAATGGGGAGGTATTGGTCAAAGGGTGAAAAGTGTATGTATAACAGAAGATTACACACTGGAAGTGTAATTGTGATCTGCTAAGGTTCAGATCTTAACTGTGCTTACACAAGGAAGAATGCAACATTGTAGATATGTTACCTACCTTTAGTTACTTCACAAAATTTGACATATATCGAAACATTATCCTTTTTAGATAACTTTAAATATTTTTTAAATTTTTAATTATTTATTTTTATTTTATGTACATTGATGTTCTGCCTGCTTGTATGTGTATGTGAGAGTGTCAGAGCCCCTGGAACTGGAGTTACAGACAATTGTGAGCTGCCATGTGGGTGCTGGGAATTGACCCCTCTGGAAGAGTAGCCAGTGCTCTTAACCGCTGAGGCATCTCTCCAGACCCTAGAAACATTATCTTAAACACCAGAGAAATGTACAGTCTTGTAAGATATACCACAGTGGAGGAGGGCAGACAAAGAAATGGAGTATGTATGGATTACCTGCGTGAATGAGTCCACAGAGGACACAGCAGCACTGCCTACAGGAGTCTGCTGAGCCAGACTGTCCAACAATTCCACCGAAATTCCAATCTGAGCAACAGACGGGGTTCGCACAATATTCATGGCTCCAAACGGGTGCTGGCTTCCTTCTCCTGAAAGACATTTACAGATGCTACAAATTTTCACACTAACTTGTACTCATGCAAATTCCTCTGTAATTGAGGAATCTCTCCTTGATTTAACACATTAAGAAGTATCAAGTTTATCTATGACTCTGATAAGGATGTCTCTCATCAAGGTTCCTGTTATGCTACCTATGGTGGCTGCTTTGGACCTGAAGGCCTGCTCCCCATTTCAGGTCTTACTGCTCTAACTCTCCTGATCAAGTTCACCTAAAAGGAAACTCATCCCAGCTGTCCTTCGCTATGAGTCCCCAGCTCTCTGTAACACACAGGTTTCCCCAGGAAGTCACACAACATAGAAAAAATATACCTGTCTTATAGGTCTCAGCACCACACACAAAGATAAATAAGGACATGGATCTTATAAGGCAGATCTCTAATGGGTTCTGTTTATGGTCACAACCTCATCTTTTTCTGTACAAGCAGTCAAACAATACTTCAAAGCCTAGAACTCTGAAGCCTTTCATGGCTCACAATTTTTTCAAAGTGAGGAAGATCATCTTCTCTAACCATAATATGCATAACATTCTCATTTTGACATTTATAAACATCTTAAAGAATGACCAAACATGGCAGTGAGATGGCGCAACAGGTAAGGATGCCTGCTGCCATGCCCACTGAGTTTGGTCCCACATGGCAGAAGAGAACCAACCTCTACAACTGTCCTCTGACCTCCACATATACCATCTGGAGCACTCACACAGACAAACAATAAATAGATATAAAAAGTCAAATAAGGAGCTAGGCACAGTGCAGCACAACTGTAATCCCAGCACTCGGGGAGGCAGAGGCCTCCTCTACACAGTGAGTCCAGCACAGCTAAGGCTACACAGAGAAACCTTGTCTTGAAAAACAAACAAAACAACAAAAATAAGTAAATAAAAATTAAATAAGAAAACCAGCAAGATAGCTCAGAAGGTGAAGGCACCTGCCACAGAGTCTAATGATCTTCAAGATCCTCAAGGTAAAAGAGCACTGACTCCTTCAGGCTGTCCTCTAACATGCTATGTCACACACACACACGATAAAATTTAAATATAAAAAATAAAATAAAACAACTCTTCAAGATGACCAATTTACAATAGTTACCCTGATTGTCAACTTGGCAGAACCAAGAAACAAGTATGCATGCTGGTAAGGGATTATCTACAGTGGGATAACTGAGATGGGAAGACCTGGGATTCTAGTTTTCTTCCTGTTGCTGTGATAAAACACTCTGACCAAAAGCAACTTAGAGAAGGAAATGAGACTTATTTGATATTTATTTATTTATGTTTATTTGTTTGGCTTACAGGTTACAGTCCATTTATTACGGGATATTAGGGCCAGAACTCAAGAAAAAGGTGGAAGCAAAACCACAAAGAAACACTGCTTGCTGGTTTGCTCCCAGGCTCATACTTAGCTAGCATTCTTATATAGCCGGGAGCCTCATGCCTCAGGAATGGTGCTGTCCATGGTGGGCTAGGCACTCCTGCACCAACTAATAATCAATCCAGTCCCTCACAGACATGTCCCAGACCAACCTGATCTAGGAAGTTTCGTCAACGGAAATGTTTCAGACTAAACAAGGTACCCACCCATCCTGAATGTGGTGGTATTACACACTAGGCTGGATTCCTGAACTGAATAAAAAGGCTGAGCACAAGTATCCATCTCTTTTGTTTGTTTTCAAGATAGGGCTTCTTGTGGACCTTTAGCTGTCCTAGAACTAGCTCTGTAGACCAGGCTGGCCTCAAACTCAGAGCTCCACTTGCCTCTGCGACCTGAGTGCTGAGATTAAGGGCATGAGCTACCACTGACTAGCCATTCATCAATTTCTGATTGACTATGGATACAATGAGAACAGTTCTCAAGTTCCTGCTGCCATGACTTCCAGGCAGCAGGAATATTGCTTTGTTCAAGTGCTTTGTCAAAGCAAGCAGTCAAGTAACTAATACAGAAACCCAATTATTTTTTTTTTTTAATTTCACTTTTGTACTATTTCATTTCAATCACCTTTGCACATAAACACCCATTCAGGATCTGCACATATCTTTTTCACACATACTCAAGTTCTTAAATGACTGAGTAAAATACCGTATTTCCTTCCATTCCTTAGAAACAGTTCAGTGGTCAACCTTACTTGAAGAAACTCAGCCAAGGAGACTGTTATCTAAAGACTCAGTATCTAAGATTTCGCTAACACAAGCAACTTCACTATCATTTTAGAATGCATTTCTCTTATTTCCCTTTGCATTTTTCTACCTAGAAAACTTCTTCTGTCCACTTCTTTCTTTACCATCATGAACTAAGTCAGAAAAGTGTGGATTCCAGATTCTGTTTAATAAAAGGTAAAAAAAAGCCATAAAGATGTCTACAGTCTCTGTTTATATTCTTTTAAAGATGGCATAACTGGAGCTGGGCATAGCCACTGCCACATGCCTTCAATCCCAGCATGTGGGGTAAAGGCAGGTGGATCTCTGTGAATTTGAGGCCAGCCTGGTCTGCATAGTGAGTTCCAGGACAGTCAAGGCTATATAAAAAAACTTTTATCTCAAAAAAAAAAAAAAAAATCAAACAAACAAAAAAACCTGAAAAATGTTTTTCTATGAAGATTACATGTCAATACAATGGCAAATCTGGCTCACATTCCATTTTTGCATGACCTGCAACCTATATACAGTTTATAAGTTGTTTAAAGAGCAATATGGCAAGCCAGGTATGGTGGCACACACCTGTAATCCCAGCACTCAGAGAGGCAGAGGCAGGCAGATCTCTGTGAGTTCGAAGCCAGCCTGCTATACAATTCAAGTCCAGGACACCCAAGGCTACACAGAGAAACCCTGTCTCAAAAAGAAAACAAAATATGCCATAGAGACCACCTTTGGCCTAGAAAAACTAAAATCTTTACAAAAAAGCTAGCCAACATCTGCCATGAACAATTTCATCATTCCTCCATCTTTCTTAATATATTTCAACCCCTTTTCTTTTAGCATAGTTAAAAATAAGTGATGAGTTGAAAGTGAAATAATTCCTTGATTGAATGCCACAGTGTATGAGATTCTGAAATTATAAAGCACAGCCCTAGATACATGTTGGATTTAAAAAATGACCCACTGGACTTCTGTAATTGCAAGACAAAAATAAGCTCTTAGTCTATTAAAAATGTTATTAAGTAAAGGGTTGAGGAGATGGCTCAGTTGGGAAATTGCTTGCCTCACAACCACAAGGACCTGAGTTTAAGCCCCAGCATGCTCATAAAGAGCGATATGTGATGGTTCACCTTGTCATTCCCAGCACTGGCCAAGTAACCTATTATAGCTGGTGAGACATAAGTTGCAGTGGAAGACTCTGTCTCAAAAAGCAAGGTGGGCATCTCCTAGGATCCACTCCCATATATAAAGGTTCCCTCTGTACTTTAGAAGACCTAGATAAAAGATAAAATCAGGACATATAATTCATCTAATTAGCTGATCAAGAGAAAAACTAAAAAGCTACAAGCCCACTGTTTCAGGTACTGTGTATGTACACAGCAGCCATGGAAGAAAACTGAAAATGCTGATGACAAAGGAAAGTAGCTGCCACACAGGAACGTCTGAATATGATAATGTATAAGTATCTTGACAGTATTGAACAGCTAGATAGAAATCAAATATACACACATATATATATATATTAAGATATCTATATATTTAAAATCTCTTTGATCCATATTTATTAATAAAATAACAAGTATGAAAATACATTTTTCCCTAACATAGTTTCAAAAAGTGTATTTTAAAACTTTATTGTCGGGCTGGAGAGATGGCTCAGCGGTTAAGAGCACTGTCTGCTCTTCCAGAGGTCCTGAGTTCAATTCCCAGCAACCACATGGTGGCTCACAACCATCTACACCCTCTACTGCCCTCTTCTGGCGTGCAGGTGCACATGCAGATAGAGCACTGATATGCATAAAATAAATACATAAAATCTAAAAAAACAAACAAACTTTATTGTCAGTAAATATCTTAACTTGAACAATGGTAACATATTCTCTCAGTTTTGAGAGCAGTTTGGGCAGGATATAAAGACTCCTTCACAGCTGAGCATGGTAGTAGTGTACACCTATAATCCTACCTTGGAAAGTAGAGGCAAAAGTTTGAGTCCAAACAAAGTGAGTTTAGGGCCAGCCTGGGCTACCAGTTCTCAAAAACAGAAACAAACCACCAAAACCATGGAACTGGGAAAATGGCTCAGAGAGGAGAGACCTTAACTAGACCTAAGGTTGTATGTGTCTGTAACAGCAACATGGGGTTAAGGGCCATCACATACAGAGATCCCTGAAGCCCTCTAGTAGGCGGTGTTTCAAGTTCAGTAAGAGACCCTGCCCTCAAGAATAAGGGAGGAAGGGAAAAAGAAAGACAGCTCAAGACCTGCTATAGCCTCACATGTTCATGAATAGACAAGTGCGCATACCACACATAAACAATGACAGCATCATAAGCGGGGGCTGGGGGGATAAAAGCAGTGTGTCAAAAAAGAATACGCATGCCCGGCAGTGGCGGCACATGCCTTTACTCACGGCACTGGGGAGACACAGGGGGATGATTGTTTGTGAGTTCAGCCTGGTCTATAGAGTAAATTCCAGGACAGGCATGGCTACACAATGAGAAACGCTGTCTCAGAAAAAAAAAGATGCATGCCCATTCCAGCTCATTATTCTACCGATTTCCATCAAAATCTTTGGTCCAATCTCTAACTCATTTTTAATCCTTACTTCACAATGAAATCGGCCAGTGAAGTGAGTGGAGAAGTGTGGGAAGGCACAAGGTTGCCTTTATGGCTCACCAGCCCCAACCCCCACCACACCCCTGCACCATGAACATAGACTAGTAGTGGCATCTTGAGCTGGTTTCTGTCCTTTCTAATCCTCTAAACAAATTCAGCTCAATTTTACAACAAAGCTAGAGTTATTAACGTGTTCTTTCTGGCAACTGAACTGAACAAGACAT